CCAAAGAACCGCGGGGTCAGACGCTTCTCCATCCATCTCCTCGAGCGTTCGCGGCCCTCGCCTTCTCATTGTCGAGTCCGCCCCTTTCTCAGCGGGCCGGACAAACGTTGTTCCTCCGGTGCGGCGGCCATCCCTCTTTGTCACCCTGGGCAGCTCCTCGTTCCTCGTTCCTCTTTATACATTTTATTTTCAACCATTTCGTGCAGGAGTAATTAACTTTGTACTCATATATACAGTCGAGCCTCGTGACGACGTACCTCGAGGGACATAGCGGATCTGGACGTTATAATGGTCGGTCCTTGTAAACATTTCCTATATAATGGCCGCCAACTACGATGTACAATGCAGTATGAACATTTAGAGATGTAAAATCGTGAATGTGTCATATAGTATAAACATGCCAATTACAAATACGTGTATACGGTGTGAAGAAAAATGAATTTATGAGACAAAACAAACAACTGTTGTGTTCCTACTTCATCTCTGTATGTATATATATATATATATATATATATATATATATATATATATATATATATATGTGTGTGTGTGTGTGTATATATATATATATATATACACACACACACACACACACACACACACACACACACACACACAGGTATGTAATTTTTTTATTATTAGAGGTCTGAATCTCTACATTAACAGATGATTCAATACGGGTCTCAGTTCAATTCAGTTCTTACATCTTGAAATTTAAAACAATTGTTCTGTGGCGGCGCCGTGGTCCAGTGGTTAGCGCGTTGACCTCCCAGTGCAGAGGTACTGGGTTCGATCCCGGCCGCGGCCTTCCTGTGTGGGGTTTGCATGGCCTCCCTGGGCCTGCGTGGGTTTTCTCCGGGTACTCCGGTTTCCTCCCACATTTCAAAAACATGCACGGCAGGCTGATTGAACACTCAAAATTGTCCCAAGGTGTGAGTGTGAACGTGGATGGTTGCTTTTCTTTGTGTGCCCTGCGACAGGCTCGCAACCGATTCAGGGTGTCGCCCGCCTACCGGCCGAAGACGGCTGCGATAGGCTCCAGCACCCACCGCGACCCTTGTGAGGATAAGCAGATCGGAAAATGGAATGGAATAAAAACAAATGTTCTGATTAAAATCGGTTTTTGTTACACTTGTAGCGATTTGTCTTCAACACTCATCATTTTCCTTTTAGGAAAGTGCAAAAAAAAAAAAAAAAAAAAAGTCAAATAACGTGTGGCATTTGCACTTCTTGTTCTTGTGGGGACGTCAATAATCGATCCATCGAAGCATGCAAAAGAGTTGCACACGACCACCGAGTTGCATCCACCTTTTCCTTTGTGTGCCGCGGTGCATCTGAAGAAGTCCGTCATTTCTTTATCCCGGCGTAGTCATCCCACCTCCAAGCGAGAGCTTCACATATCCGCCGGAGACCGCGCAACCTTGGCTTGATCTGCCCGGCGGTGTCACCGAGGCAGCTGAAAGAAGGGTGACGCCTGACTTGGCGATTCGGAGCCACATCAAGGAGAAGCCATGTTTTATTCAATTCCGCAAAGCTTGTGGTATTCCGGATCCTCGCGCCTTTTGTTCTTGAGCTGGAGCTCTGACATCAAGGCATGTTTGGATTTCAGATTTGACACACAATTTTGTGAATTTCTGCTTCCTTCAACTTGTTCGTCATCCTAATGGTCACGCGCGGTATGTTAATTGTTCTCTGCACCCTTGCTGGGGTGGACCTTGGCGTCCTGCTGACTTGCTTTTTTTGTCGCCTTTCTTTTATCAAGTGTCAGTCCTGCTGTGTGTGTCGGCTGGAGGATTCCCTTTGAAATCGGATGCTAGCAAAGCCAACCCTTCACCATTTGTGTTCAAGGGAAGAGCTACGTATGTGACTCATTTCCTCCATTTTTCATGAGGTCATTTTCGTGTGACCACATCGTGCAGGTCGGTTCCGCCTTCTCAGAAAAATGAGCCTTTTTTGAAGCCTTTAACATTTTTTGACAAAATGTAAAAACAATTGTGTGACTTAATTCCAACTCTTTTCGGTGGCATTGGTCTTGCTCGGGGGAAAAATTTTTGTTGTCGCTTACCTGGAAAACAGTGCCGCAACACGTTAATTAGCATTAGCATTGAGCTACTAAGACCTTTCCTTTGACATGGTTTTGTTTTCAGTCGGTGTTGCTTTCAATGACGATGATGATGAAGGCTCACCACACAGGCATCTGAAGGCTCACCACGCGGATATTTTTCCACAGGTAAGTCGCAACTCGTCCTGCTATCGGAGCGTACTGCAACTGGATACATTTTTTTCATAAAATAAGATAAATCTCATTGTCACCTAAAAGTTTCGTTCCTATTTTGGGCAGGCGGATGTTCATGGCACTGGAACAGGTTGGTTCACAGAAATAAGGCCACATCAATTGCCAAAAAAATGCTTTGGTTCTTGGCTTACTTTGGAGTCATGAACATTGATTCCACGGTTACCACTTTATCTGCCTGTAAGGGATAATCCTCAGTAGATCAGAAAGTCTGTGCGATTGGGTGGAAGGAAACCCGATAACGAAAACGAAACTAAAACCTTTTTGAGGTTTCGTCGACTAAAACTGTCACGAATAGGAATGGAATAGAATGTGACTAAAACTAATCAGCATTTTTGCCCAAAAGACTGAGACTAAATCTAAAATGGCTGCCAAAAACAACACTGTTTTAAATACAGTTTTTCAAATGAATAGACTGTTTTGATTCATTTTCCTGACTAGTCGATGTCAAAATATGTTATTCATCAACAATTACTGTACTCCGATCTTCATGACAATGGGGAATTTTATTGAATACAAACACCATGGTGACATGCGTGAATTCCTTTTTATGACTCTGCACAGGTTCTCATATCAGCTGCAGCTTCAGTGGTTGTCTTGCATGAAAATTATTTGAGGAAAGTTCGATCCACCGTCGGGTACAGACAAAATTATTCTACCTTTCGTGTTGTTGTGGTTAAAACCGGTTAAAGTTTGTTCTCCTTTTTGGCGCCAACTCTCAAATGAATTCTCCGCTCTCGTAATCACAGGAGCACAGCGGACCGATCGAAATGGCTTCATTATAAGCTGCGAAATGACTGCGAGTCTCCCCGGCAGAGTTTTGGAGCGCAAACACTCGCTGTTTTTTCTTTTTACAGAGCACGGCTGCTGCCAGTGCCGCCTTTGTCCGTCCCGGAGAGGTTAAACATGGCAGCTATCGACACGGACAAGCTTGGGCTGTTTGGGAACGTGGCGTCTCTGTGCTCTTTTTTTACAGCTGGCTGCAAATGTGTTGGTGCTGGTAGCTTATGTTTTTTTTTTTTTGTTGTTGTTTTTTTTTAATGACTAACTCTTGGCTTCACATCCGACTTCAGTGAAGCACATTTTCATTTAATGTCGGCTTTTTGTATTAACCTCCGCAGAGGAGGTAGCAGGGGATTTTTGCTGTTGTTTGATCCCAACTTTCTGTATAGTTTTGGATCCAGCAAAATGGCTTTTTATTGTGACATTCCCAATTAAACTTTTTTTTTTAATCAAGTGCGACACGAGAATGTCAAGAAGGCCAAAATTGTCGTATCTAATTTGAATGAAGATTGTTTGATGACCCTTAGTGACCCAAACAAGGCCACCTTGCTACTGAAAACGGATCGATCCGGGCATAAGATTTGAAATCCAAGCTGAAAATGGAAGTTGTGAGGGAGCCGCGTCGCTGGTCAACCCTGATGCTCTGCTGCCCCCGTGTGGCTGCAACGCGCAGGCGCAGAGGCTTCCTGCTCCTTTTCTCGGAGGAGGCAGGCGCAGCGCAAAAACCGCATTCATCACCCGGCAGATGTCGTCGCTGGGGTGAATGGATCACCCATCGACGCCGCTTGGGTCACCATTACTTGATATTGATAAAGCCGTGACGGATGCTCTCCGCAGCGGCCCCGAGACAAATGGCCGGAGGGCGTGGAGGGGTGTCACGGGGAGGTTTTCTCGCAGCGTTGCCGCTCTTTGCGTTAAGATCGATTGGTTGAGGAAGCCGGAGTGCACATTGTGGTGTTGTTGTTGTTGCTCACATGGTGCTGAAAGAATGAATGTGTTTGTGATTCGATTTGCCCAGAAGGTGGACCTCGCGCGAGCCGGCAACGAGCTCCGCCGAAGCAGGACGCCACCAGCTCGTTTCTTCGACAACGTTACTCGAGACAAATCGGTCCACCGGTGAGGACGTTCCAAACGGTGAGCAGCGGTCTCCGCCTGCTTCCTCTTTTCCTTCGGGCCTTCAAACTGGCCGCCGAGTGTGTGGAGGACACGAAATGTCGGCACCAAAACTATTTTCTCATCAAATCTCCACCGTTCGCAAAGTTCACCCAGTTTGCTTTCAAAACGCTGAATTGCGCCAAAAGGTGAGTAACTGTTTGAAACTTGGGTTTGATTTCAAAGTAGTGTTTCAAACAAGGGTAAAGGTTACAAAGTAGGGCTCTACAGTAGTGTTAAACAAGAGTTGGGGGTTTCATGTATGGTTAGGGTTTGAATGTCAGGTTTTAAACGGGGGTTAGGATTCCAAAACGGGTTTTAGTGGGTTTGGGGTTTCAACGTAGGGCTTAAAAATAGTTAAATTTCTTTCATAACTCGAGGCAATATTTTCCTGTTGAGGCGTTTCATAACTTGAACATTTCGTATGACGAGACGTTCGTAAGTAGAGGTACCACCGTACTTTCATTTGCAATATGCCGTGTGGTTGAAACAACACCGCAGGTGTACTTGGCCATCTTTTTTGCCACAATGCCACCTTGTGACTGGAGGCTGTAATTGCAGCGCACTTTAACTCACCTTCTTTTTCCAAAAAGCATCACTTCTGGATTTTGTGATCATTGTTTTCCAAAATAAAATCAGATACTTACTGTCCATGAGAAGATTTCAACAACTGTCCCCGCCATTTTTTGTGTCTTTTATTTGTTATTAATTCTCCTACAGTATACAAATATTCACACTTAAAATGTTCTCAAAAACACTTGTGTGTCGTGAGCATTTCTCCCCACCGTGCAGTTCTGACTCTTTATTCCTTCAGTGTGTGCTGTTTAGCCCGTAACGACAATAATAACAACAAGAATAATAATTGCATTGATTGATCATCCTGTCGCGCACACCTCGTAAACAGCGTCAACCTCCCGGCCACCATCAGTGGTGAGAAGCTTCATTGAAACCACGGTGTGGCTTTTTGACATCATCACGACAGGACATCCGTATTGTGTCCTGGTCGCTCCCCCCTCCCCCCGGCCCACCCCGAGGCCCTTTTTTTTTTTTTCCAGGAGGCCTAGGCTGGGGTGAGCAAAAATTCCTGTGTCTGATACAGACGCACCAGCATCACGGCACGGACACGCTCGTGTGTCCTCCAAATCAAGAAGTTGCCTTGATGTTCTTTCTGGAAGAAACCAGGCGTCGGCACGCAGGGAAGGCAATGGAGTAGTGCAAGGTCAACCGGGAACAACAGATCAACAACTTCAGGAAGCCCCTCTCCTCCCCTCTCCCGAAATTGAAATCTCAAACATGAGCAAACAACATTAAAATGAGCATCAACATTCAAGTGGCATCATGTGACCTTTTCTTTTGTCATAAATGTCAGCTGTATTCCCCCCAAAAACAGGAAGTAGTGCAATCAAGCTTTTTGCCCCCCCCTGCCCCCACCACTACCTGCCACCAGGTAACAAGAAATCAATTGAGGAGGACCACCTCGATCCAGAAATTGTGTGACTGAGGGACCAAATTTTTTTTTTTTTTTTTTTTTGGCATGGAGATTGCCGTGGTCAGCAAAGTCGCGGTGTGCTTGGAAATAAAGGACTGGCTTTGGTTGTGGCGTGACCTTGGGCCTTGCCGAACCGCTGGCGACTGAGCTACGTACCGCGGTGGAGGAGCTGTCGGAGCTCGCAGTCGACGTCCTTGTTTTGTCCGGCGCACGCGACTTACTTTTTCTTCTTGAATAAGCTTTTGATTTTGGATGAGGAGCGCTTGATTTTCTCTCCGTTGTCACTGGAGTCCTGGGAGGAGGTGCTCAGGAGCTTGTGCTCCCGCCCCACGCTGCGGCCCTCCGAGTCCAGGGAGGTGAGCGACGGGTAGCGGCCCACGGCGGGCAGCACGCCGAAGCTGTGCGACTTCTCCAGGACGCCGTTGTACGCCGCCTTCCCCGACGGGGGGGTCACGGCCCGGAGGTCCGGCGCCACGCGAGTGAGGTCCGGCGACGGCGAGGTGGACGGCGGCCCCGAGGGGGAGGCGGCGGGCGTCGGGGGCAAAGGAGGCGGCGGGGTGGAGTCCCCGCTGTTGCTGGTGGGCGTGGGGAACTCGGGGCTCTGGTTGAACAGCAGCATTTCCTCGCGGGAAATCTTGCGGTACGAGTGCGGCGGCTTGCGGCCCATCGAGGAGTTTGGAGCGTCCGTGTCGGGGCTGACCTCCTGGTCACTGGGAGACATGGAGGAGGACACCACAGCGTCACAAGTCAATCGGTGGTTCTCACGCTGCTGTTGAAACCCAAAGTATGTGTCTGCCTCTTTCCTGTTGTGTCAATGCCCAAAGGTGAGTGGAGTGACTTTCACTGCGAGCTAGCAAGGTTCCCATGTGTGATGTCACGTCCGTGCTAGCATGTTATTTAGGCTAGTATGCTAGGTCATGCTTCATCTGAAGATGGTTTGTGTTGAACGACTGCACTTCTGAATACACTCAAGCAGATACCAGCATGGTTGTGTTGTGTTTTCATGCTGCTTTTGACAAGCAGCAAAAGCTACACATAAATAAACACAATTCGAACAGTCGAACCTTCGCCGAAGTGACCCACATACGCAGAAGAAGAGACGTAAAGGTAACGTTTGCTGAAGTAAATGTGGCCCAGCGTGTATCGGCTTTTTACCATCTCACATCTAAAGAGCGTTGGAAGAGTGGGTAGAAATATTTTGAGGAAACGAGGGGAGGCTTTTCGGTCTCGTCCGCTGAAGATGACTTCATGTCATCGTCACGCGTAGTAAATAAGCCGTCTGTCTGTGTGGCTGAGTTACTACTGTCACCAATTATGTCAACTCTATGCTTCCTGTTTCAAGTGAGAATACGTTCAAGTCAAATATAATGTTGACTAATACTCAAAAGAACTTTGTGACAGAGTCACAGCCAATCAAACAGTCATTCTCCCTCCGAAGCGCACAGTCTCCCGCCTGCTCCAAGCGCATCTTGGGGTTTTCGCTCAGATACATGTAACCTGGCCGTTCAGACTGCGGTTGCAATGCAAAAAATCCGACACATTTGAGATCGAGGACCCCTATATGAAAGTGGCGATGGTCGGATTCGGAAAAAAAAATTCGGAATTGAGCTGTTTAGACAGCAGGTCATAAATGGGCGGGAAAAAAATGCAATCTGGTTGGGATTTGCCTGCAATGCGAACGTCGCCTGGAGGTCTTCATGTACGAATCACCATCACCACTTAGCCCCAAAGCACCAGTGAAAATGTTTGAATCAAACACCTGAGAGTCCACACTTTCAAACCATTCCTCGGGATTCTGGCCGCCGCTACGTACCCCCTCCTATCCGAGCTGAACATGACATATTCGTCGTCCGCCTCGAGGGGATAGGAGAGGGACGAGCTGGCCATGGACAGCAGGTCAGGATCCGGGGACATCACGGAGGACGGCGACGAGCTCATCAGGCTGCGGCGGGAACGGCACGCGCTGCTGTTGCGCGTCAGCGGGGGCCGCATCAACGTGGCTTATTGAGAAAAAAAATAAATAAGTCACAGATGTAAAAGAATTTTAGTGTTCAGATATCAGTACTTTCAAGGTTAGTAATTAGTGTGGTTTCGATGCTAGGTTTGTTAGCCCGTTTAGTGGCTTACACATTATGTGCTCGTATTAGGCTGCTGAGGTCTGGAAGACAAATTTATGCGTGTGTTGCTTGCGACCTAATGTTGTTTCAACGTTAATAATGACTGCAATTTCAAGGCTAGGTTCGGAAGCCTGTTCAGTGTGTTTCACATGATGTGTTAGCATCAAGCTACCTGACTTCCGGAAGACAAAATTCATAATGACTGCAATTTCAAGGCTAGGTTCGGAGGCCTGTTTAGTGTGTTTCACATGATGTGTTAGCTAGCATCAAGCTACCTGACTTCCGGAAGACAAAATTATGCGTTTGGCTCAATATATCTTTTTATTTATTTTGTGTGTGTGTGTGTGTGTGTGTGTGTGTGTGTGTTGCTTGCTTGTGTTTCAAGGTTAATCATTACGGAGATATTGATGCTAGGTTTGTTAGCTTGTTTAATGCATTTCACATGAAGTGTTAGCATAAACTACTAGACTTTAACAAGAACAAGGGTATGTGCTTTAGTTGACTACACATGTAATAAGCCTTGATTCACTAAGCTGCAGTAATATTTGCTTTGTTTGTTTAGTTTTTTTTTTTTGTAGCGCATACAGCACACATGCCTGGGTGTGTGTCACTTGTTCCAGAGTTTGTGTTCAAGTATCAGCTGTTTCGAGGTCAATAGTTCATTGTCTTGATGCCAAGTTTGCTGGCCCGTCTCTTGCGTTTCACATTATTTCGTGTTTGCGTGAAGCTACCAGATTGATGGCAAACAAAGCTTTGCGGTTTGGGTGAATACACAACGTTTAATTATGGTTGAAGCTTGAAAACGGCTTGAGGCAAAGACATTTTCTGCGTGAGTGTTTGATGCCTGCCAAAAGCTCCGCATACACGGCCCCCAGGTTTCTGTTCCCGTTCCCTACGAAGCTCTCACCCGTGAATTGTGGAACGATGGGAGGCGTGTCCTCGTCCAGGTCGTCCACGCCGCCGGCTATGGGGTACGGCGGGACGGAGACGCGCGGCATCACCACCGGGAACCCGCAGAGCCTCTCGATCTGCTGCCAGCGGTGCAGACGTTCCCTCAGGCACGCCGTTACCTCGGACAAGGACTTTCTGAAGAAAAAAAACATGTCAAAACGAGCCTTTTAACTTTATATGACCAAACTAAAAAAAAAAAAAAGTTTGAGAACCCCCTCGCCTGGTTTGTGCACTTACTTGGCCTCAAGTATCTTGTGGTCCACCTCATCCAGTGACGAACTGTGTGCGACGTGAAGCGTTCCAAACACAGAACTTCTCTTTTTTTTTATTTTCTCCGCCTGGAATCCAAAAAGGAAATATTTGTAAAGAAAGAAAGGCCCAGAGGACGCTCGGTCACGGTTACCTCGTCCTTGGCGACGCAAAGTTGGAGCTCGGCGCTCTGTTTCTTGATGTTGTAGTACTGGACCTCCACCTCGTGCGTGAGCTGCAGCCACTTCTGCAGAGCTTCCGGCAGCGACCGCTCCGACTGCATCTCCTTCTCGGCTCGCTTGAGCGCCTTTCGGACCTGCCCGGGGGGGGTGAACGGGTTTGGGTTTAGACGCGTGCCAAATTGTCTCCCGACTTTGCCGCGTGTAAGGCTTCACCTGTACGAGCTCCTCTTCGGCGTATTTGAGCCGGCTGAGCTCGCATTCAGCGCCTTCCCGCAGGTCCCTCAGTCTGTGGGCCTCCTTCTTGGCGCCGGTGATCTCGTCCCTCATCTTCTGCTCGAGATTCTGCTTCTCCACGATGACGGTGCGGTTTTCTTCCTGAGCCTTTTCCAAGCTGAAAGGACGGAAACCCGTCTGAACGTGAGCCGCCTTGTTTCCGGCCGCTGCTTATTCGCGCTTCTCCCGCTCACCGACTCTGCAGGTCGAGGAGGCTTTGCTCGGCGTTTTGCAGGCTCTCCAGATCCCTCATCATCTGGGACATGTGCACCTTGCTGGACTTGTTCTGCACGTAGGCAAACCAGCAGCCGCCCACGCCAATGACGATGGAGATCGTGAGGACAAAGTCCTTCATCCAGTTGTGGTGCGGACCTGAGGGAAAGCGAGGACGCCGGCGGTGGGATTTCAAGCGTCCGCAGGTCACGTGCGCTTCGGTCAAGGCAATGCCAGGCGCATACTTACGCAGCGGGGGCCCGAAAAGGACTGCGTCCAGCGCCTTGAGATTGAGTTTCTGTTTGTGTCGCTGGTCTGACACTTTAAGCTGCATTGACAAGAAGGACGGCTCATTTGCGGCGATTCTGCAACACAAAGTCCAACGATCATCATCATCATCATCGTGCGCGGAGCCGGCCGTAGCCCGTCAGGCCCGTGACGTAAGCGCCGGCGAGGACGCGCAACGGGATCCAGGACCGCACGCGCTGTGAGAGTGTTCGACTCTTACGTTCTTCGGGCACGTCTTTGCTCCTATTTCACATTTCTCAGTTCCAAGACTCTGCCCTATTTTAAGACGAGCATGTTCAGGCTGGAATACGATCTGATGTGGCCGCCAAAGAGATCCGCATGTCTTCACCAGCGCCCCCCCTCCACCTGTGCTGCCTTTTGCAAGCAGCAGATGGCGGCATTGTCCCGTAAAACAAATGAATTAGTGAAGCGTCGACTCACCGTGGCAAAGTGTTGCCCGTCACGCGGAAGTCCCGGAAGTTCTTTTCGTACTGGGGCAGCTCCACCGACTCCTTCAACCACTGTACCGTGTCTTCCACCGTCCAGTTGTGGACTAATAGACAGAAAAAAAAGCCAAACGATCATCTCACGAGGCCATGTCCCGAAGCAAATACGGTATACGGTAACAGGCATGACGGAAGGTTGGAGAAAACTCCAAAGGTGACGGTTGTTTCGCTGTGCTTATGGTGTCAAAAAAAGTAGCGCGTATTTGCCTTCAGAGGTCTTCCAGCCCTTCCAAAGCTCCTCCACGGTGATGTGCTGGTCCTCGCGGTGCAGGTTGCTGTGCTTGTTGGTCTGCTGCTGCTTCATGTCTTCTATGATAAACTAAGGAGAGATCATCATATTTATTGCCATCTGCTTTTCTGGGGGGTAGATTGTTTCTTTACAGCACACATTTCCCCCCCCCCCCCTCAACTATTGTGCGTTTGACAGTAGACACACAGATGTTCGACTTCTCTCTCTCTCTCACACACACACACACACACACTCTCATTTCCCGTCTTTTTGCCTTTTAGGGACTTTGAAAAGCCAGCAAGAGTTGCACTTCCACCCGTGTCTGCGTTAACTTTCCGACAGCTCTCCTTTTGACAGCTGGGAGCTTCACAGTCCCGTCGTGAAGCCTGAGCCACAACAAAAGAAATGCCAGAACACCTTTTTGCCCTTAAATGTCCCATTGCGGGGACGAAACCATCTCAGGATCAACTGCGATCGCATTTCAAAGGCACCCTTTTGTATTGTGCTTCCCGGTGATACCGTGCTCAGCATCTCCGAGCGAAAACGGCTCTGTTCAACCGGCTCCCACTCTTGTATTGTTGTACATTCCAAAAGACGTTCAGCTCCAGCTGATCGTCATCCTCACTTTTGCCATTTGGGCACTCCCCATCCTTCAGGTGTGGTTGCAAACACGTATTGAGCCGTGGTAATGTGCGCAGCGGCTTGAGGCAACCTCACTGTTGCCAGAAAACGTGAAGCGCAAACAAATACATGCTGAGGCAAGAAGAAGACGGAGCAAACGGGGACCTACTGGGTGGAACTCATAGAATAGCCACGTTACGCCAAATAAGTGGCACAAATCCAGGACTATAAATAATCATCAAGAGGTTGTAATTGTTGTTGCTTCAGGCTGATATGAGAACAGTGTGATCAAAGCTGCAGGCGCGTCTTTGAGGAGTTGTCTTTGCAAGTCCATGAATAAACCCGAGTCGAAATGCAAACAGATGATCAACTATCATGCCGAGGAACGCGTTTAGTCCGCGGGAGCTTGCGCAATCAACCTCAGTGCGGATTATCCCGGCAGGCCACCGAACGCCACCCGACGTGGGGACGTTGAGCTCGAGAAACAGGAGGTAACAGGAACCGATGACTCGGTTACACCTGAACCACGTTGGTGCGCCGAGGTCCAGCTGATGTCTCCGTGACATCGTCCCCTACATGGTCGATCAAGAATGCCTGAAACGCAGGTCACGGAAAAGCGGATGTCCAGCCAGCGGATGTTCCCCGACAATAATGACCAGCAAGGCCTTCGGGTCGGTCGCTAGGTGGGGGTGGGCGGCGGGAGAGACCCCAAGGGGGCAAGCGCCAGTGGAATCTTTGTTCCACGGGTGTTGGGTGTCAACCGGCGGGGAGCGAGGAGAAGCTCGATGCTTAATGCCCTCTCCTCCCAAGGCCTTCCCCATAGTTGCCCCGTTTAGAGTCGCCGCATCCGGAAAGCTTTAACTTTCCGGCCGTTGGCATGTCCAGGTCGGGTGACGCGTGTCACTCCGGCTCAACTTGGAATTTGCCTTTGCGTTCCAAGCGGGCTCTGCTGCCTGCAGGGTGTCGAGGTCTCAGTGCTTCCGAGCAACGGGCCGCCATGAACACGCAAATAACGGCATAAGTACGCAGTAATTGCCTCGTACCTCGAGCAAATAGTTCACCCAAACACTGGGCAAGGAGGCCACGGCGTTGCTGCAGTTCAGAGCTAAATAATTATTGGCTAGCGCCTAGCTGTGAGGTACAGAAGGTGTCAAACTACAGTTCAAGAGAGATGCAAAAAAAAAGTGCATGTCTCACGGGGACAGCAAGGAAAAGTAGTCATCTAACATCCATTTATTTTCAAAAGTCATACCGCAAGTTGAGCGTGAAACAAGATCAACACGTTGCGGCCTTGTCGTTTGCCGTATGTCGAGATGAAACAAATTTGAGGGATCGACCGTTGGCAATTGTTTTGCCATTCGCATCCGGCCGGTCCCATTTGGCATTTCGACTCGGTGTCGCTCCCGTCACGGGTGAGGTCTCGTCAGCTGACGGAACAAAGACCGGCACTCACAGCGAACATGCGATGCAAAGGCGGCCCTTACAAGAAGGTCAATTACCGAGAAATCAGTGAGCCACGTCGGGGCAGCGAGCTCCCGGATGTCAGCCGTACCGGATGCTCGCAGAAGCGCGCGAGCGAGGCGGGGAGTTTAAAGAGACGCGTGCTCGTTGTGAGCATTGCTAACTAAATATTAGCCGGGAAGCCTTCTTGTGTCAACTCGAGACAAGCTCTTCGATGATTTCAACCAAATGTTGGAAGACTGCGTTTGTCAGCTGCTGGCGCTCCAGCATGAAACACTATCCTAACGATGTCGTGTCGGCGTCAACATCCGTACACCGGAGTTGACCGTAGCGGGCAAATGTATATTTGCAAAACTCACCTCCACGCTCTCGTTCACTTCAATGCCGCCATCGTTGTCGTCGTCCAGCTCTTTATGGATGTGGCGTAAGGCCACCAGGCTGAAGCGGTCCGCATCGCTCACGCACGGGGGGATGACCATGAGGCAGGGGTCTTCTAGATGGGGAGACACACGGGTGGGCCCGGTCAGCGTTTACCAAAGGCGCCGCGTTCGAACACCGCGGCAAAAATGTTACAAAAACGCGGGAGCTGTCGCGCCGACGCCGCCTGATCTCTGTGGTTGCAAATCACCGGGTCCGGACACCGAGTGGTTCGGTGGACGTGATCGACTTCCCGACGAAAACGGCTTACCTTGCAGATGAGCGTTGTTCAGCTGCAAGAGAGCCAAGCACAATCGCAAAACCTCTGCTGTCAGAACGTGGGACCAGCTTAAAGTCAGTCCATCCGCGGTTATGTGGTAGACGCACTCGGCAAAGACTAGCGTGTCGTCAAAAAACGCGGCAGCCCCGGCACACTTCATTCTCGGTAGCCTTGACGTGGGAAGTGTGCGAAACTCGTCACGTCGTCACTTTTATCGCGGGGAGCCGTGTAATGAGCGTCCTCCTGCCGATTTGCATGAGGGTACATCCATTTGCCTTCAGGCCCTGACCACTCCTCTCATTCGTCACCGTTTAGTGTCAATATATATCGAGGCTTTGTCTTCAAATGTTTCAATCGACTCTTGGCTGGGCTCAAAGTGGTGAACACTCTTAAATGACAATTTCAAAATTGAGGGTGGGAGGGGCGGGGAGGAAATTGCAAGGTTAGCCCGATGCAGATGAATTCTCGCACCCATTTTTTGAGGGGGTTTCTGAAAAGCAGCCCTCAGGAGATTTAGAGTGGCGCTTCTGAGACCAACAAACTCTTCAGTGACTTGTTAGTCTGAATCCCACTCGACTTCTCGGCAGTCGGACATGTCCTGCCTAGAACAGAATTCATAATTGTACTTCAACTTCTCTTTTGAGTTTGTCAGTACGGCAATAATAGCAGTCGTTCGGTAGATGCTAGCATTAGCATTAAGGTAGCGGGGCCTTTGTTTCTGTTTGCTAGTTTTTTGAAACACAAAGTGTTGCCATCGTTGTTTTATGCTAACTATGAAGCATGTTTTAGTATGTCCAATTTTAAGTGGTCATGCCACAAAATACCGTCAAAGGCCAGCTTCCGAACCGCGTCAAGAAACACACTGGCTTCCATCTGGTGATCCTTTGTGTCAGTTCTCGCTTCAGCGCTGAGCAAATGCGGCCTTTTGAGGACGTTTCGGTATCGGACTGGAGCTCGGCAATCCACTTAAGAAGCAAGAAGAGATGTTTGACTGAACACGTGTTTGGACGAGAATGTCGGCGGTCGGGCTAAAATGGCTGATAGCGAAACCGTGGCGGCTTCAGTAAGAAATAGTTTGCCCAACAGCAACGGGAGCAGTTACACAATGAGGATCCTTCACATGATATCCAGCAGCCTGCATTGGCTATTCAGAGTTACATCATATGAAATACTGTACGGTATTTGCGTTGCTGGCCAGACAGGCTCTCAACTTAAATCTAAATCTAAATAAATTTAAACTCTTGGTTGTTTACACATGACCGAGAGCCAGTTACAGTTTGTCAATACTTAAATTCAACGGCGTTTTCATGGTAATTAAGACAGTCGTCGCTTGCTTACATAAAAGTTGCGTTCAAGAGCTTAAAGGGGACATATTGTGAAAAACGTCAACGGCTTGTATAGAAATAGCCGTGCCTCTGGAGTGTGTGCCCACGCGCCAGAAAATCTCTTCTGAACGTTATTAAGTCAGCCTCATTTACATCATAGCGCCCCAGCACTGAGTTTCCCCGCCGACGAGGTGCCATTTCCAAGCCGCGGCCGCCACCGGCGGCTACACGGAAGCGCAATCATGTGAAAATCTTAAATGTAAGCAGAGCTGCAGAGTCGGCACACAATAGCTCACAGCGTTACGCACGGCACACTTGAACGGTTGGTGAAGTTGTCGATGTCGGGGATGGTGGGGGCCTGATCGTCATGGTCACAAAGACCCGTTGACCCAGAAAAACAAGAAGGCAACAAGAAGCGTGCTGTAAGTCTGGATGTTATCCAAAGAACGGCCGAGACTTTTTATTCAAGCCACCTGGGAACTGCTTTAAATGTGTGTGTGTGTGTGGGGGGGCTTTTTTCATATTCCATGATGTCAATTTCACCACTGCTTCCTTTAATTGTTGGCCTAGTTCTGTTCCGCATGTTCGCCAAACTCTTGCAAAGATACCTTCAGAAGCTTAAGAAGAAAGACAATCCCGAGATATTTTTAAGGAACTGCTTTAAATGTGTGTGTGTGTGTGTGGGGGGGCTTTTTTCATATTCCATGATGTCAATTTCACCACTGCTTCCTTTAATTGTTGGCCTAGTTCTGTTCCGCATGTTCGCCAAACTCTTGCAAAGATACCTTCAGAAGCTTAAGAAGAAAGACAATCCCGAGATATTTTTAAAAACTGTCATTTACACTGACAAGTGTTTGGAATTCACAACAACGACAGCACAAGCCTTCCCTTCCCTGGTGTCCTCTTGTCTTTTGTGTGCCGCGGGATGCTTATGAGGTACGATGTGACAGGAAGTCACGGCGAATGACCCCTTGCATGCCGCGAGAGGAGATCACGGGTGGGGGAGGGGGAGCGACACGCACACAAAAAAAAAAATCAAATCAAAACAGCCGGTCCCAAAAGACTGCAAAATTGGAAAGCACGGAGTTATTTTTAAGTTGGCGGGCTCCCGTTTGTCAGGATGTTAAGAGTCCAACAATGGCAGAGGTCTCCCTTGCTTGCGCACGAGCAGATGTTTTGCGCATCGGCAGAAAGCGCTCATTCACTTAGCGAGCTGTCACAAAAAGCGCTTCAAAGGAATCGGGAAACAAAAAGCCTTGCGATGTCAGCCTCCTGGACAAAGCATAAGATGCGCGGCAATATAACGAGGTCGGTTCGGTTTCTTTACGTGTCGCGGTGGAATTTGGAGAGAACTTTGAGCTCGCATCTTGTCCTGTCAAACTTTCCCGCAAGACGTCCTTTGCCGGACGCTTTCGTTTGTCTCTACACGTGCCCTGCGACGGACTGGCGACCAGTTCAGGGTGTCGTCTGCCTTCCGTTCCGGCAACTCCCCTTGACCCGTTTCAGGATGAGCGCTGTTGAGAATGGAATGGAAGAAATGGGCGTGTCCTCGGGAGACAACCACCCCCACCCGCCCCCCCTCTCTGTTTGCTTTCCCACTGATCACTTGAAGCGCCTGGCTGCCACCATCATTCCCCCGAATGCCCAAAGCCCCCGTCAAATAATCATTCATCCTTTCTTGGGCGTTTGAAAGCAGGGGGGAAAAAAAATGAAACGGCTTTAACGGAGCCAAACACTTCCAGAAAAGGAGATGCTCCTTCGAGCCAGGATTCTTTCGCTGGAACGTTTGAATAACAGGCACCCCTGACACGAGGTTGACCATATCCGCGTCGGCCCGGGGGAGCCCGCGGGTTGACTGGGAAGGCGAGGCGAGGTCGAACACGCACTTAGTCTCTGACATGCGAGTTTTGTGTGACAAGAGGGCGTTAGGCGAGGCTTGCCGGCAGAGAGTTGCGGTCGGGGGTTAAGTGGAAGGAGTTGCCCGTGGAGAGCTGAAAGAGAGAATTGAATGCGTCCAAGTGTCATGGCAAGGTTCTTGTTAGGGCAGCAAGGAAAGCCCGCTGCTGGCGACTCCAGCCATCTTTCGTTGTTCCGATCCGGCCGCGAACAAAAAGGACAAGCGCACGTGAGCACGCTTGGCCGGAAAGATCAAAAGGGAGGCCCTTTGAAATGCGGTGCGAGAACAGGAAGAGCCGCAATACCGAGCGGGTCAAAAGTAAAGAGAGACGCGTCATTCTTCACGTGATTTGTCATGTTCGTGCCCAGATCCGGTTGGATGGCATTGCTGAAATGCCGCAATGAGCCGAGGCGTGAGGTCGCCAGCCATTACACAACAGTCCACTTCTTTGTCGAGGGGCTTTTCCCAACTTGACGATTGGCCAACGAACGCGTGCCGGCGCGACGGGTGACGGCTTAGGAAGAACGGCGAGCCGACGAAGTCATCAAACAGACAGCGGGTAGGTCGACTCGGGAGGGTACCCGAGGCCGAACCCACAAAGTTGTTTGGGAATAGGACGCTCATTTGCATAGAAGTGTGGGGCGCTATCTCTGCCAAATATATGCAGACGACCTCATGTAAACACGCGCAAATGCCACCGGCGCACCGATAGGCATTCTGCTGGGCATCGTCGCTCGTGACGCATTTCACCATCTGCACGGGCTTTGTGAATTAGACGCCATCCGTTTGCTCCACGTTGGCCGATTAGCGCCACAGAAAAGCCGCAGGGAATTCGGCTTCAAGTCTTTCTGGGTGCTGGCTCAATTGCCGCAAAAGAGTTTGGTCATCCCACTGTGCGGTGTATTAGGCATACCGGGCCCATTGGGGCCAACAAGGCACCTGCCACTCCGAAGATGGAAGAGATCAGGCCTCATCTCAGGGCGAGTTGGATCCAAAGCACGGATCAGAGTTTGGCTGTAGATGTAGGATTCGACTTGACAAATATTGACACGGTAATCAAAGGTAGTTAGCGCATCACGATTCTCGTTAGTGTTTAATCTTCAAACACGGGCTTCCAGGAGCGGCTCGGCTTTCGGTTGCGCGCGACAAACCGGGCTGCGCACTCGTTGACCCGCTTGCGACGAGCACGGCTCAGAACGTGAACGGCGGCGAGCGACATGCCCAAGAAATCCACACCTCCCCGAAGGCTATACCACATCACACGGCGGGAAAGTCCCGAACACGCGCAAAGTGACCGCACCCCGGCATATCCGAGACGACACCGTAGCCGTCGTTTGCATGCGGCAGCGGAAGTCACTCTCGAAAAGAGAGATGGGCCGCGGCGACTGTGTCGGGTGTCTGTGAAGGGCGCAGCTTTGGATTCTTCCTGTGTTAGGGTGACGAGCCTTAGCGCCCGATGAACAGGTGCTGTCGCAATGTCACAATTCATAAAAGCAATGACAAGTGCACCGGAGAGTTTGTTGTCCGTGTGGCAACGCAAGATGGTGCCAGCGATCCATCCGTTTCGGGGACCCCCTCCTCCTGTTCGGCATCACAGGGAGCCGAGTTCGAAAGGCGCATCAAAAGAAGGTTTTGTCCGTCCGGTCCCTCGGCGAAACTCAAGCCAAACGTTCTCGTCTTGAAATATAGTCGACGGGTTCAGCCGGGGCCTGACGGCGACTTCCGCCGCCAAGGGCTCAGGCGGCCAAGTGTAGCGCGCACTGCCAACTAGGGGATAAACACCTTTTACGAGGGGCCGGCAACGGGGTGGCGCGCTTTCGTGTCGAGACACCGCAGAGTCCGCCGCCTGTGCGCTGACGGGGGTCCGCCCTTCACCGTTGAGACGGTGACTTACGTACTTTTACCACCTGGAACCTGACAACAGCGGAATTCGCGCGTGGGAAATCGGCATTGGTCAGCCGCCCGGTGGAAAATAAGCAGGGAAAACTTCAGCGGAAACGTTATAAATACCCTCGCGGGGGTCTGCTCTCGGGCCTCGTTAGCTTGAATAACAACCCTAAAGCCCGTGGACTGAGACGGACGGGAGCAGCAGCTGTCCACCTTAGGGGACGCCCAAGAGGCAAGTCGGCGACACAAAGCTGACCTTCACTACAAGTCTTTAGAGAACGAACCTGAACACACGAGACACTTAAAATACGACAAAGAATAAATCCGAGCGTCGGGACGATCGTCTGCGTGTTGAGTTCGGAGAAACACCTGACTGGCGTTGGAGCTGCTTGATGCTGAAATGTGTCACGCATGACGCTGCAGAAACCGGAGGCGGCAAAAGTACTCGGACTCGAGACTGAAGTAGAAGTAGAGATACTTGTGTAACACAAGACTCCAGTGGGACGACTGAGGCCACTTTCTTATTTAAGGCCGCCCTGTCAAAATACAGAAATGATGGATCAACTCAACATTTCTAGGCAACAAATTTCGAGAGCATTAAGTTGAGCATTTCCATGAAATATTTCAAGCTTTACCTGTGGTAAAAATTGGCTTTCCCACATTTTACAAGTGTTGACAGAACTGTGTTGGCCCTTGTAATGCCCCCCCCAACCCCCCGCCCCCCCAACCCTCAATTCAAAAATATACTGTAAGCAAAAGCAACTCATCAAATTGTTTCGGAGCAAACGACTCGCTTGCTTTGCTGTTCTATCTTAAATTGGCAACAATTAAATGTCCATTATTGATATTCAAGTTGCCCCCCCCCAAAAAAATGTTTGTTTTTTTTGACTGAGCAGAGTATACAAATGTACCTTACATTTGTATACGCTGAGCAAAAGGGCATCGGAAAAAGAAATATTCATTCCGAACAATACCTGAAAAATAAGTACAGTAACTTTTTTTTTTGGGTGGGGGTGGGAGGGGCTAGAATAGTAATTGAAGTTATTTAAAAAGGTAAATGATTGACATTTATGGTGAAAATGTTAGTCTTTAGTCCAACAAAGCGAGCAAGTCATTTGCGGAGTTGTTTTGACTTCTGTCTTGAGGTTGCGGGGCCAAAAGCACGAGACAGCACTTCTGGAAACGTCTTTCTTGTCAAGTGCCGGAAAGCCAGTTTTCACAACGGCAAAACTTTGAGTCAAATGGCTCGACTTAAAATCGCGCCAAAGTTTGTTGGCTTAAAATTTTGAGCTGACCCTCATTTTTTTTCTTTTTTTAAACAACAGTGCAAGCGTTGAGTGAAACGGAACGACGTGACTCAATTTGCCATAATGCAGCGGTTCCAGACGAGCAGTCCTAGCAGAAGTGACCATCATCCCGCGGGCTCACGACTTCAAGAACTGGCTGTTGCTTGCACCCACTGAGAAGGGCTTTGTTTGTTCAAATCAGCTCAACACACAAGACCACTTGAACTGGAAGATGCCACGTTCATGCTGCCGCTCAACCGACTCGCCTCGGACGGCGCTGTTGCTTCGTTAACCCAACACGCTCAATCACGGGGCCACCATTCCAAAGCGCCACCGGAACACAAAAAAAGAAAAAAAAACGCGCCAACTTTTTAATCTTCTTTAATCCGTTTAGGAGACGGGTAGGGCGTCCGCAGGGGGCACACAAGGACTCGTTTTCTGCTCTCGCAGTGGAGCTGACGCAAATTGGCGCGGCAGGGGGCAGGCAGGCGGGTACTTTGTGACACGTCTTTGTCCACGGGTCGACTGGACACAGATCAGAATCTCACGCTGGGAAAAAGGGTCGTTGGCGGTCCTTCCAGGAATTTGCAACAATTCACGTGATTTCGACCGATCCACAAATGCAGAGTTGATGATGAAACACAGAAGACCAACCTGCAACGATACCCGTCGTCTTTTCGCAGACGATCAAGACGACGTGCATACGAGCATTGCTGTATAATCTTGTCAACATGTGTTGTGACCCCCTTTGTGTCGCAGGTTTATGATGACCATAATGGTGATGCTGGTTTTGTTAGCCCGTCTGTGTGTTAGCATGAAGTTAATCGCGGTCTGGTTAAATACACAATGTCATTCTTTGGAATATCTTGAAAATCTCGCACATGACGCCGTGAAATCTTAGTCTACAACAATCACTCGAGAAGCCTGTTAAATCATAAAGGGACTACTACATGAAGCACTCAACATTCTACAAATCCTGGGAAGGGTTCGCCTGGCCTTGTCGGGCATCCGGTTTCTCCGGTTTTCAGGTGTCTTCCACCTCTTGTCAATGTTAGCTGTCCAAAACAGAGCTTATGCTGTGTGCCAACAGCCTGCAGTGCGAGCCTTTATGAAAGAGCAAACATTTCCAGGTTAGCATTTTAAACGTCAGGTAGAGTTGACGGGAAGCCGTACCTTTGACTGCCAATATTTGCGTCACGCCCAGGGGTTCTTCTGGCGCCCCCCCCCCGTGATCCCCTTTTGAAATGTTCTGGCGCTTTTTACAAATGGTATCGATGTGCCATGCTGTCCCGCAAACTGACTACGCCATGTCCCCGGAATCCGTCAGTCACGTGTGTCATTATTCCCTGCCAGTGATCGAGTGCGGCCGGTTGCCAGCTGACACACATCAGAACCGCGTGGCGCTCTGCCAACACGTCTGTTGGTCCATACTTAACATATTTAACTCAAATCCCGAGACAGAAAGTTCGTTTCTGATTGTTTACATGAAAACGGGGATTGACATTTTAAACCTGGAGGGGATTCCCCAGTGGGAGGTGTGGAGGGCTGTGGGGGTGTTGGGGGAGGGGGGGGGCTTGCATTCCACATGAGCTGTGCTTACCTGGAGTGGCTCCATCTCCAGTGTCCGACGACTTGGATCCCAGTACCGCAGAGATGACGAGTCCACGCAGCAAGACGATCAGCACCGCGGGGATGGTGCACATCGTGGACGTGTGGGTGGGAGAAGATCCGGCAGTGGGCTAAGGCGTTGGGATCATGAGCCAAATCGGTCTCTTGGAAGATGTTCACACGCAAGTGGCAGTTCTGGGGCGCTCATTGAGATTCGGAAACGTCCCACGCGCGACACTACCAGCCTCCACAGGTACTTTGCGAGGAGCTGCGCGCTGCGGGCTCCCCCATGATATCAGCTGTCAACTAAATCACGCATCTGATCGTGCACGGCAGGGGAGGGGGGGGGGCGGCTTATGTGCAGAAATCCCAAACGTTCAAACCGGGCCCCTCCAAAAAACGTCCGATACGTCAGTGAATCGATTGTAAAATCCTCACGCCAGGCTCCGCGAGTTGTTGCCAAGTAGTGTCCTACTTCCACGTACAGTCGAGTATAAACACGTAGGTACAGATCCGCCTCCTCTTCACCACAAAGCTGCCTGTTTACAAAAAAATAAACAAAGAAAAAAAGGACTTCCTCCTCCGGTTCCTAAGGAACCACATGGCTGCTTCCTCCCAACCGCTTCCGATTTGCTCCGCTTCGAGAGGTCCGGTGCGGCATGGGGAACCGCATGCCATCGCCGCTAGTTCGCCGGCGGACGCGCGCGCGCTTGGGGAGGACGCGCGCGTCGAGCAGGGGCGGAAGTCACTATGCAAATGAGCGAGCAAGGGGGCGGAGAATGGGGAGCGGGAGGGGTGGGGGGTAATACAGTAGCGCGCGTGTGTGTGCGTGTGTGTGCGTGTGTGTGTGTGTGTGCGTGTGTGTGTGTGTGTGTCATCAACAGTCTGGCAGCTGCGTCACTTGCCGAGCCGCACTCGGTCAGACGTCTTCTCCTCTTCTGATTGGCTGCGACGTCCCAACATGGCATGACTCGATTGGCTGTCTGAGAGGCAGCGGGGGCGGAGCTTGCACTTCCACGACGACAGTACAGAAAAGAGAATCGAGAGACTAATTCCTTGTCTGTTCTACATACTTGACCAATGAAGAGGATTCTGATTCTGATATGAGCAATTTGAAAAAGAAAGCAGTTAATGTTACGTGACGTATGCATGAAATTATGAATACGTGGACACGGGGAGGATCTCGTGCCATTATGTTGTGCTTGCATCCATGACGTGCAATTTATTCAACATCCAGCAGATGGTGCTATTTTTAAAAGGCCTCAAACATTTTACAATACAGTACTGTACCGCCTCAAAATAACACCACTTGCCATAAAAATGAGCAAAGATTTCATTTTTTTCCCTTTGAGTTGAACAATTTTACACACCAAATTAAGATAAACTGGCAAACGCACAAAAAATAATGGCCGTAATTGTACAAGTGGCCCATGTAAATCATGAACAAGACGAGGCAAAGTATTGAGCTTTGTGGCACAGTTTAGCTGAAGTGAAGATATGGATGGTAATTGTGTTTTGTTAAAAAGTTGTTCTTTGTAAGACCGGTAATCTTATGTTTTGTTATGTTAGTTATGTTAGTGCGGTTGTCTTACCCACCTTGACCACAGAATTACATGTCAAGTTTGACACTATATAAAGTGGAACAATGGCTCCTTCGTTCATTCATAGATATTTGAGAAACTTTTCGAAATCTTGAAGACACAAGTAGTGTTCCAAACAAACTTAATATAAACTCAGAAAAAAAAACGCCAAATCCAGCAACACATTTGCTAAATTTGCATTAGAGATGGACATTCTGTCGGGAATCCTGTGGGTCAAAGGAATCCCGCAGGATTCCCACAAGATGGAAGTCACTCTACCTTTAATCAGGGGATTGTGACAGTATCGGGTAAAAAGTTAAGGTGGGGGGGTATCCAAATGTAAGGAAAAAAAAACTAAAAACACCTTGGAGAACCCATGAGGAGATACTGTTCAATTAATTAGTAAAATGCAACTTGTGTTTTGTTTTGGGTTTTTTTTAATGTAGCTGACCTCCAAAATGGGAGCCATATGGGACTGGGAGTCATTCTGAACGGGAGCAAGACAGGAGTGTGAGTCCTTTGCATGGGGATGGGACGGGATTTATTTATTTTTTTTACTATGATCCAGGACTGGGACAGAATGGGATTTTTTTTCTGTGGGAGTGGGATGGGACCAGAGTGAAAACCAGCTCCCGTGTCACCCTAAAGTTTGCATCACTGCGCACCACTCACTATATTCATCCATCCATTTTCTGATCCGCTTCATCCTCACTAGGGTCGCGTGGGGTGCCGGAGCCTATCCCAGCCGGAGGCGGGGGACACCCTGAACCGGTTGCCAGCCAATCACAGGGCACACAGAAATGGACAACCATCCCACACCTCGGGACAATTTGGAGTTTTCAATCAGCCTGCCATGCGTGTTTTTGGAATGTGGGAGGAAACCGGAGTACCCGGAGAAAACCCACGCAGGCCCGGGTACAACATGCAAGCTCCACACCGGGACGCCGACGCTGGAATTGAACCCGGTACTTCTGCACTGTGAGGTCAACGCGCTAACCATTGGGCCACCGGGCCGACCCACTCACTATAGCAGCGGTAAAAATATACAATTGTCATTTTTATGTGTGCTTACGTTTTTAAAACAAGGTTAAGATGGGGAGCAGGGGGGGTGGGGGTGTTTACCAGACTGGCAATGGTATGCTAGTCATGACGTCATGGACCACAGGAGCGCCTGGTGAGTACAAATTCCTAATGAAGTGGAAATAGTTTACGGGATTGGACTGAAGGGGGACTAAAAAAGCAAAAACAGCGCGGTTGTGGTTTGCCTCACAGTGCCAACTTTTATAAACAAGAACAACGTGTCCCCCCCACCACCACCATCACCACCGATCCCCTTTGTGCAGCCCCCTAGATTTGGATTTGAGTTATTATTAGACCTGTAATGTTGAACAAAGCTGAGACAGGCTGCACTATGTTGACACAAGCATCTGGGACCATCCACATGTTTTTTTTCATTTAACCTTTATTTATCAAGATAAGGCAATTGAGAACAGAATCTCATTTGCAATGCTGAGCTGACTGATACATAATAAATAAAAACAATAGCATGATGACAGGCTGAAAAGATGTGTTGGGTTATACATCTAATTAATTCCTTAGTACACTACATTGTATTTACAAGATTAAAAAAATGCCTGTCCTCATCAGTCAGTTCTTACAGTTCATTCTTGCCCCCCACAGTAGCTTCCTTCTCTGCAGGTCCACCAGGTTTGGCCTCATGCCACAGCTCACCTACGCCAGTACTGAACACATGCGGGGAAAAATACGTGTTATTCTTGACAGGGAACATAGTTAATTATTGGTCCGTAACGCTTATGACATTAACAGTATGAATTACAGCCCTACTTCTAAGTACACGAACGGTGGTAAAATAAAGTTTCAATAGGTTGTTCATCTTGCTTAATCGATGTGTGTTTTAAATTTTCAGGGGGGAAAAGTGATCATTATTTGTCCGTAAACTTGGTCCGAGGTTCTAAATGTATTTGCGGATTAAGAACAAATTCAAGTCAGAACAGACTTGATGAATCACGGATTTGAGCGTACGCAATGTTTATGTGGTTGCCATCATCTCCTGACTTGCAAGTTGACAGAGCAACCGGCGAGCGTGACTTACTTGAGCAAACTTGTGAATCTGTTCGACCACGGCGGCGAACAGGGCGCCCACGCTCTCGTCGATCAGACTCTGCATGTAATGCACCGCCTCCTCGTCCGACAGGTCCAGCCGGAACTTGTCTTGCACTTTCTTGACCGTCTTGTCCGGCTCCAAGGCGATGTCGGGAATATTGGCGTCCACCATGAGGGAGAAGAGATTGAGGATCAGGTTGGAGTACCTGCGCAGGTGCAGGAAGGCAGTGTAGCACTGCTTCCGGAACTCCTGGTACTGCTCGCTCTGCATGCCCCCCATCCCCTCCACCATCTCCTTGCTCAGCTTCATAGGAGGCGGAAGCGGCTTGGGATCGCGGCCCAGGATGTAGCCAAAGTCGATATGGAAGAGTTTCCCTGGAGGATGACAAACATGAATAAGCTATTATAAAAACCCACTTCGGGGTGCAGAGGGCTGGCTCTCTTTACTCTACCCGTCTTGGTCAGGAGCAGATTGTCCAGATGTCGGTCTCCTACGCCCAGGATGTACGTGATGACGCAATAACCGGCTGGAAAGCATCAGAACGAGCATTGAGCCCCGCTGTCCCCAAAAGACCTGTCCCGAAAAGACTCACCGCAGCTCTTCACGTAGGTGTCCATCACCTCCGAGCTGATGCCGTACGGCCCCTTTTCGCTCGGCGCGTGCTTCCTGAAGAAGCTCTAAAGCACACAACACAACTTTAGCGCGTTAAATTTTTGAGATGAAACATGATGTGGGGCCGATGGTGTGTTGATGCTAATGCGGTCACAGTAATATGACAGCAACTTGTACGATTCATTTAGTGACCGCGAGTGGCCCAGACCTGAATGTTGCCTTCAGTTGCCAGCACTTCGGCAACCGGAACCGACTGCACAAACTGCATGAAACCTAAAAAAATAAAAGCCCCAAATAAACATTAAATAATATATTGCTGAGTAACCGCGCTTGTCCTACATTGGCGAAGTTACCATGTTTGGTGCTGGTGGCTAACACTTTGTAGGGTGTCAACTTCAGGTCCAGGTTCTCCTTCCTTAGTAACTGAAAAATAGATGCAGTGCTGAACCAATGTACAAAAAGATGATGATTATGATTACACACATGATCACATGATTATGATTACACGGTTTCATATGTATCCATCCATCCATTTTCCGATCCGCTTATCCTCACAAGGGTCACGGTGGGTGCTGTAGCCTATCCCAGCCGTCTTCAGGCAGTAGGCGGGCGACACCCTGAATCGGTTGCCAGCCAATCGCAGGGCACACAGACACCAACAACCATCCGCGCTCGCAATCACAATTAGGAACAATTATGAGTGTTCAACCAGCCTGCCGTGCATGTTTTTGCAATGTGGGAGGAAACCGGAGTAAATATAATATACATACATTATATATATATAAATATATGCATGCCCCCTCCCCCACCACCACACAGGGGATCAAACAGAAATGTCCCCAACAGGTATGCATACTTTATCCATGAGCGAGATGATCTGGAGGATGAGCTGATCCTGTCTCAGGTCATCGCCGTGTTTGAAGATGACCGGATAGGTAGTGGCAGCCTCCGTTTTGAAAATCAGCTTGGCAGGCATTAGCGCGCTCTGATGCCACAAAGTCAGACACACAAGTGAGCCTCGTGCATCGTGAAAGACAAAATAAATAAATAAATAAAAATAATAATAAATTTAAAAAATGCAGCAAGAGCTTTACGGGACCTTGAAGAGAGTCGCCGTTTCGGGGACGATGCCACGGATCCGGATCTGAGGCTCCAGCGGGAGTGGGATGGGCTCGATTTCCGAGAGGTACACATTTTCATTGTCGGCCAGCAGCGCCTGCAGCCGCTCAGTCTGAGCATGCGTACGAGCACGCACACACACACACACACACACACACACACACACACACACACACACACACACACACACACACACACACAGTTGAGATATGTCAATTCACCACAATAACTATTCTCTCTTGGCATTATACGGTGGCACTTCAGAAAAAGCAGCAGCTTAGCAGATGACATAAGTAAATGTGTGTTACACTTATC